GAGACCAACCCGACGACCGTGACATTTTGGAAGAGAGGGTGGGCCTTGAGAGTTTGCAAGAGCTGAGTCGCAATGTAGCGCTTGCGGACAGTCTTATCGACGACGAGTTGGGTGATCCACCCAACGACGCCTGAGAAAATATGAGCATTCTATAAAATGGTGAGAGCAGCTGAGGAGTATGTTTTGATTAGGGAAGCGGCTGATCGTCGGAAGTTAAAATTATATACCCCGACAATGTCCGACATCGTATGTTTTTTTTGGGTGTAGCCTAACGTTTTGAATTTAGCTGTAACCCCACTGGGTCATATTACATATGTGTACATATTATATCCACCGCGGTCTGCCGTGCGACATCAACCTACTTAAGTACCTGCAATATCTATGACGATTTGTATTTCTCACGGCGAGGAGGCAGACGAACAGAGAGTCTCTCCCATGGGAACTCTCAACCTCAGGTATGTGCTATCGCCCCAATCCGATCATCGTCCCAACGCCCATTCCCCCCAATGCTAATCTAACACGTCATTTCAAGGCCGAGAACATATCAGAACAAGGCACATCGAATCTCATCATGGAAGACTCGCCGGTTCACGTAGTATGTAGCGTTCATCATGGGCAACCAATCTCATTTGTCAATTAATTCTCTTTGGGCGATCAGGGGACAAACCAAGGCGACACAGCCGCCTCTTCCGAGGACGAAGATGAATCATCCCAGTTGTTCGATCTTGCGAACTCGATTTTGGCAGAATTCAAGGATCCGGTTTCACTTTCCAACCTTGATACTGCTATTTATCTATTCCGCGAAGCTCTCGATCAGCGCGCAGCACCACATCCCCTTCGATCAGAGTCACTCAAAGATCTTGCAGGGGCGCTCGTGACAAGATTCAGCTTAACCAATCAATATTCGGATCTCGATCAAGCCATGGTTTCTCTCGCTCAAGGATTGCATGCGTTACGAGAGCGGGTTGAAGCATTGATGGGAGCAGGAAGGCAGTCTGAGCTTAATGTGCGTGCAGGATTCCTACATGAATTTGGAATTTGCATTCACTGCTTTCATAGGCGATTATTTTTGCTCAACACGAAAAATCAGAAGCCTCCGAGCTGACTGAACTTGCCAAAGCCACTCTCGTAAATATCAATCAGTCGGCTCAACTTTCAAGTCTGGATACTGCGGTAACGCTCCACAGGGAGGCTCTCCTTCGTCGCCCTAAGTCGCATCCTAAGCGACTGGTATCCCAAGCTGGCCTAGCTGTAGCCTTGTATGCACGATTTCGTCGCACAGGGTACATGTCAAACATAGATGAGGCGATCTCGGTGCTTCGCGATGCAGTGGAGGCTTGTCCTGAATCAGACATGTACCGTGCGGAGTTGCTCATCGACCTGACCGCAGTTCTTGCAGCCAAATTTGACAGAACTGGAAAGATTTTAGATCTGCACGAAGCCACGACACAATTTTTTGGCCTCGCCAACAAGAACTACGTGGAAGCCAGTCAGTTGGTCAACTCCGGGAACGAACTTTTCGACCAGTTCAGAGATTCAGGTCAGATGCCAGACATCGAAAAGGCTATTTCGCTATTTCGCAAAGGCCGTGCGCTCTTGCATGTTCGCCATCCTATTCGGTTGTACGCATCTGACCGCCTCGCCAATGCGCTAATATTCCGGTTCGGCCGGACAGGTCAACGCAAGGACCTGGACGAGTCTATTTCGCTGCACCGAGGCGTACTTGCACTGCGACCTGAACCCCATCCTGATCGAGCCACATCCCTCAACAACCTCGCTAGTGGGCTATCCACACAATTTGACAAGTCGGGTAGACATGAGGACCTGGATGAATCGATTTCATTGTACCGAGAGGCGCAGGAGCTGGAGTCAGATCAGTCCATGTCCCTCAGCAACCTCGCCATTGCGCTACTTCAACGATTCGACGAGTCAGGTCAACTTGATGACTTGGATGAGGCAATTTCAATGCACCGCAGAGCGCTTGAGCTGTTTCCTGCATCCCATCATTATCGATCTGACGCCCTGAACAACCTCTGTGGCGCGCTAACCGCACGGTTCGAACAGTCAGGTCATCATGAGGACCTGGATGAGGCAATTTTAATGTACCGAGAAGCGCTTGAGCTATCACGTTCTGACCATCTCCTCAACAATTTCGGGGATACGCTTAAAATACGATTTTATCATTCAGGTCAACGCGAGGACTTGGATGAGGCAATTTCAGTCCACAGAGAGGCCCTCAAGCTGCGACCTGCGCCCCATTCTCTTCGATGCAGCTCCCTAAACAACCTCGCACGCACGCTAGCCGCACGATCTGATCAACCAGGTCAACGCGATGACCTGGTGGAGGCCATTTCACTTCACAGAGAGGCACTTGCGCTCCGTCCTGTACCCCATCCTCGTCGATCCATCTCTTTGAACGACCTGGCGAACGCGCTACACTCACAATTCAAACAGTCAGGTCAACGCGAGCACCTGGATGAAGCTATTGATCTGTATTACGAGTCCCTCGATGCAGTTGTCAGCGGGCATCCGTCAATCTGTTTAATAGCACGCAATCTAGGGGGGACACTTTTAGATGCGCACTCCCACACTCGTGAGCCGGAATATTTAAACAAATACACGGCTGCTATGCGGATTGCAATAGCCTGTGAATCTGCACCGACATCTCAGCGCTTCCGTGCTGCGAAGTATTGGGCACACCACGCAGAACATCTCAACCATGAATCAGCTCTAGAGGCATATCATGCCGCAATCCAGCTTCTTCCCCGTATGGCTATGCTTGGCTTGGATTTACAGTCACGTCAGCAGGCCTTGACATCCGGTAGTGATGGCTTGGCTCGTGATGCCGCAGCTTGTGCTATTCGATCAGGTCAGTATGACAAGGCTGTCGAACTCCTCGAAGAAGGCCGAGCAGTATTTTGGTCGCAGGCCCTGCAACTTCGTACACCGATTGCTCACCTACGTGAGGTGGCACCAGAACTCGAGCAAAACCTAAGACGTATATCCCTCGCACTTGAGCAGGGCTCGATTCGGGATGTGTCAAAAAAATTGTCCTCCGTGGAGCAGGAAGCATCCTATTTTCGTCGTCTCAATGACGAATGGCTGGCTGCGTTGGAAAAAGTGCGCCAGTTGGACGACTTCCGGGATTTTTTGCGCCCAAGCCGACTGTCTACACTGCAGGGTGCTGCAGTCGATGGTTCGGTGGTCATCCTCAATGCTAGTGAAACTGCCTGCGTCGCATTAATATTGACTTCAACTGGTATCCAGCATATCCCACTTCTGGATTTGAGTTTCGTAGCGGTGACTAAACTTGTCAAACTTCTACGCTACGCCATTTCGCAGGATGGGAGAGATGTTTTGTTTGTCGAATCAAACCGTGCACTTGTCGATAGTCTTGTTCAACAGGTGCCATCCCTTTCTGACACCCTGCAGTTATTGAGGCAGCCTTTGGAGCGACATGTTAAAAGAGAATCAAACACTTCTGTGCAGCCTGATGATATTTTCCGATATGTGTTGGGTGTGTTGTGGGAATCGGTTGTTGAGCCCGTCATTCGCTGGTTGGATTTCGAGGTAGTCATTTTAACACCGGCAGTTCCTTTTCCGATGCTCACTACTACTGTTTGCCAGAAATCTGAGGACCCACCAAAGTTACGATGGTGTTCTACTGGACCATTTGCTTTTCTTCCAATACATGCAGCAGGCGTGTACCTCACCGAGAGGACGGAATGTGTATCTGATTATGTCGTTTCATCGTACACGCCGACCATCAGCTCACTTCTCGGCAGCATTCCCGCCTCCACAGACTCATTCAAGATGATGGCAGTCATTCAACCTGACACACCCGGCCAAAAATCACTTCCCTGTACCCTTGAGGAGTTGCGGAAAATTGAGCTTCATGTCCCAGACAAAGCATTAGTCAGGTTAGTGCCCGGATTTGTGGAGGAGGTGATTGCACATCTTCCAGCGATTTCTGTCGCCCACTTTGCGTGCCATGGGCAACAAGATATACAGAATCCACTTGAAAGTGCCTTACTCCTTCAAGATGGTCAGCTTAAGGTCTCTCAAATTATGCAACAATCGATGCCGAATGCATCGCTTGCTTTCCTTAGCGCATGCGAGACGGCAATGGGTGATGAAAATCTTCCTGATGAGGTAATTCATCTGGGTTCGACACTATTATTTGCTGGATTTCGCGGAGTTGTCGCAACTATGTGGTAAGTTGACGATATTGGCCTCAGAAACAGCGTCCTGACCATTTTCAGGTCCATTGCTGATCCTGACGGTCCTAAGATTGCGGATACATTCTACGAAAGTCTGTTTAAAGAGGCTAGTTCTACTACGACCAACTCCTCTGGACCGGATATCACCCAATCTGCCCGAGCTCTCCATATTGCTGTCGCTAAGTTACGTTCTGAAAATGTTTCGTTTGTCCGTTGGGTCCCCTTTATTCATTTGGGAAGATAATTCGTGGAAGACTTGTAGTTGTACCAGAGCAAACATGTATATACATTGTGGTGTAATTTTACCTGTAGAAATTGGACATTCTAAGGGTGGATCAGTATTACCCCAAAACTCCAGAGCCCTGGAAATATGCCCAGGCGCTGAAACAAATCGGGAAACAAGTCTACGTATACATGTCAGTTGTTTTCATCTTTCCGACGCTCAGACCAATCAATATCCGCTCTCCAACACAACATCTTTTTAGCTGCCAATTAAAGGGGAAACCTAATGGCAGAAAGATTGATTTGATGTAAGAGGCCACCGAGAAAGCAAAAATCTAACGGTCTCTTGACGTTCGAAAAAGAACAGGTCTAATGCATTAGCGGCCCTTAAGTGTTACCTTGATGTCAAGTCATAAGGCGACTAATACAGGGTTTATTTATCACCATGAAAAAACGAATGAGATGGGGAAAGGATGAAGGAAGACGACACACCCCTTCGATCCTCCGAGTAAATGTCGTTGACAGAAAGATGCCAAGGTAACCGGTGCAAAAAAGGACTGATGGGGGCGGGATTCGAACCCGCGCCCTTTCGGACCAGATATCCTGGCTATCCATATAGCCTGATCCTTAGTCTGGCGCCTTAGACCGCTCGGCCACCCCACCATGATAACAGGGTGCTGAAGAAGATACAAGACGGGTTCGCACTCCGAAGGGCGTAGGTTCGAACCCTCAATAAATATCCACTAAGGGCGTGGCCGACTCTCATCACTAGTTTTTTGGAGTTTTTTCGGCTCTTGAACCTTGCTGGAAGCCTTTGATTAAACTCGAGCAGAAAGGCCAGAATGGGGAAGAATGGGGACTTGTCCTAGTAATTTCTTTTGCCAAGTGATCACTTCTTATTTGGGCTTACGCCACAAAGGCGATGGCTCAACCTGAGAACGCTGCTCATTGTGTGACCTTCTAATGGCGACATTGCGCCTGGCCACGACCCGGAGGTTATTGGAAACTCCACAACGCAAAGGATTTGTTCCCTCGAGGGGTCTCTTCGGTTCAAACAAGTCGGCACCTTCACAGTCACCGATTCTTACAGGATTTTATCGGACAGTCTTCGTGCTCTCGACTGGGTTGTTCGCAGTGTATTATTTCGATGCGAGATCAGCAATCCACCGCTATTTTTTAACACCAGTATTGCGATATGCACTGGATGCGGAGACAAGTCATAAAGTAGCAGTCAAAGTTCTGAGAAGTGGCTTGGGACCAAGGGATCCAGTGCCTGATGACGAGAAACTGAAGTCCGAGGTGAGAAAGGGGGAAGATTTGGTCTGGCGTTTCTAACACAATCTGTCAAAAGATATGGGGTCAGAAAATATCGAACCCAGTTGGTCTGGCAGCTGGGTTTGACAAGGACGGCGAAGCCATCGATGGTATGTACCACTGGTCATCACCTGTCAAAATTTCATCTTGACCAGGCAACTTAGGACTCTTCGATCTTGGATTCAGTTGGGTGGAGATCGGAAGCGTTACACCGAAGCCTCAGGTAAGTCGATGACCACAGCCCTGCTCCAGCTACTAGCTCACAACGGACTCAGCCTGGAAATCCTCGTCCACGCGTTTTCCACCTTCCTGACGACTCGGCCCTGATCAACCGCTACGGCTTCCCATCTCAAGGGCACGCCTCTGTCCTCTCACGATTACGTGCACGCATTCCGTCGTTCTTCTCGTTGGACGATGACTCTAGTGCAGCCTTACGCTCTGGTTCACTGCTCGCCGTCAATTTGGGCAAAAACAAAACATCTCCAGCCGAATCGATCGATGATTTTGTATCAGGCGTCCGCACATTTGGCCCGTATTCTGATGTGTTGGTAGTGAATGTCTCCAGTCCCAATACACCTGGATTGCGGTAAGATTCATGCGAGTGCTGCAAGCTTATCTCATGCTATGCATTTTGCAGTGGGCTCCAAAATCGACAATTGCTAGAGGAGTTGTTGGCCGGAGTGACAAAAGCTCGCGACCAACTAGCGCCGTCCGAACTCACGTCGCGCAGACCCAGGCTGGTCCTTAAGATTGCTCCCGACTTAGACGATTCACAACTCATAGACATCGCCGACGTGATCAAGAATAGCGGTATCGACGGCGTTATCGTCAGCAATACCACGATACGCAGACCATCGACATTGGTAGATTGTACGAGTCTCGCTTAGTGTCACCGAACCACTTATAAAATCGTTACACAGCTAACAAATCAGAAACCGGCGGTTTGTCTGGCGTACCACTTAAAGAATACTCCTTAATCGCCCTGCAAACACTCCGTTCCCATCTACCTGCCTCAATCCCGCTTATTGGCTGTGGTGGAATATGCACAGGCGCTGATGCTCTCGAATATGCGAAAGCGGGTGCATCACTGGTGCAGGTCTATACCGGCTTTGGGTATGATGGTGCCGGTGCGTGCAGGCGTATCAAGGACCAGCTCGTGGAGGCTTTGGAGAAAGAAGGCACGACTTGGGGAGAGGTTGTGAAGCGGGCCGTAAATGAGCTAAGTGCGCAGCCTTCGGAGCAGAAAGGGAAGTCGGTTAGGGTCATACCTGACGAGGGGAGCGTAAAACAGTTGATTGAGGAGGCAGAGGAGTTGAAAATTTTACTGGATAGGCTCGGAGAGAAGATGGGAGATGGTCCTGTAGAGGCTATTGGGTCTGCAATGCTGTCTGCTGCTTCATGAGGCGCAGTATGGTTGGAATCCAAATTGATTCGTCCCAAACAACTTGAAATAGCACCACAATAGCTTGTCTACAGCCTGAACTTCGATTTTCATCTCTAGTATCTATCGCATAAATGTCCAAACACTCTCGCCAACCGATTCAGTCGATGGGCCAACTAATAGAGCTAGAGTGAACAGGCAAATTGAAACACAGCCTGTTTCCATGTCTTTTCCAACAAGAAACATCTTAATCGTATAGCACCGATAAGTAAGGACAGGCATACCGATATGCGGATCCTAATTCTGATAGTTTCTGCCCGTAAACACGACTATTATGTTCTCATAGATCCCCTAGATTCGAACAGCTACATCACGACCGATACGATGTCAAACTGGACGATCCTCAAATTTGCTAATAAAATCTCTGGAACCCTGAACTCAGCTTGACACATACGCTTCAAAAAAATTTGCAACGTAAATATGAAATAGCTGAGAATACGGGTGTGCGTGAGCAGACTTACACATTCAACCAGGAAGTGGGTTCCGCAAGGACAAGGGTCCATGAAAATCATTAAGACAGTAAACCTCATCACCTGTTTACAATCTAGGAAATTATACCCACAACTCCGAGTAAACCCAGGACTCGAGTATCACAAATGAATCCCAAGTCTACGCAGTAGTCAAGTATGCCAGCAACAGCTACTTCGCAAACCGCGCCCTCGCTTCCACAAATACCATCCTGACGAAGGACCAGTGCTGAAGTGTATGAGGCAAAGGCCAAAGAAAAGAACACGGTAGCTTTGAGGGGCGCATCGTAAGGATAGGGCGCGCCGACAGGTAGGTGGCAAGTCATCGGTTTATAGTCTGGTGTTATAATCTGATGCGGGGTTAGAACGGATAAACGTTCGTTCTCAGCCTAAGGCATAAGAGACGAAATTGAACGAGCCATTTATAGCACGGTATGGACTGGAGTCCTCTGATCTAGAAGTGCCGCGGCGAACAGAATCAGGATTTAGGGCGATATTGATATACTTGGGGGATACAGGTGAGCTGCAAAAGAAGAGAATGAAAAGGTTTGTGAAGCAAGTACAAAGCTCGGGTACGGGACAGCACACCATATGCATGCCTTTGAATGGGTCCATCGGACATTTTCCATGATGGCTTGGACTTAAGCGACGACGAAGAGTAGGAACCTGTAGCAGTTAAATACTATATTATATGGTGCCAATCACTTAGTCACCGCTACTTTTGTGCAAAAATCATACGAAATTGAGAAAAAATCCCAAATTTATTTCCTCTTGGGAAAATGCTCCTTTTGATGAGCCGGAAAGATCCCCAAGAGGAATTAAATTTAGACTCAAAATTGAAGGAGTTTCTTTTCTCGACCCATCCCAAATTTGCGCATGGCTGACAAATCAGTCCATTTCACCATGTTTTTGGCCAGTTTGGTGCCAAAATGCTGAATGCTGCACGTCCAATTCTTCCGAGCGGCCCTGCGGGGCTACATTGCATCAAAATCTTTGCATCTTATAGCCCTATTTATGCCCATATATAGTAAGGGTGTATGTATTTTGACCTCCAAGTGATTTTGCGCCTGCCCAAAAGTAGCGGTGACTAAGTGATTGGCACCATAGTCCCATTGCGTCTGTGTCGTGTTCCATAATGATCTGTTTCCAACTCTCCGAACACGCTTCACTAGCCGTAGAGACATTCTGCAGAAAACTCTGAGACGATGTTGGACCAGACGCTTTAGAGATCCATGGTTGGATTTGGTCGAGGAAGCGACGTGAGAAATTGGTGGTGATGGAAGTGGGGATACCAGTGGAGACGACATACACATCTTCAAAAGATAGAAAAGTTCAAATATGAAATAGTTGAGAATGGTGTGCGTGAGCAGACTTACAAATTCTACTGACTCAGGAGCCGGGCTCCGGAGGGACATGAGTTAATCATTGGTGCCCGTTACGCACTGATACAACGAAATGAGACAATAAACCGCTTGCTTACAATCTAAAAAAACTAAACCCACGAATCCAAGTAGACCCAAGATTGAAGGATCACAAAAAAGGCTATCAGATTCGCAGCATGGAAGTAAGTTATTCACAGCTACTTGGCACGGGAAGCCCTCGCCTACGCATAGGCCCGGGTCGTCGTCCCGACGAAGGACAAATGCTGAGGTGTACAAGGCAAAGGCCAAAGAAAATAGTGCGGTAGATTTGAGAGGCTGCATCGTAAGGATAGGGCGTGTGGGCGACAAGGAATTGGAGGTAGCGAATCATGGTTTATAGGGTGCATTGGATCGGCATTAGAGTGGATGGATGCTTCCTGGATGCGCTTCAGAAGACTGGGTGCCGACAAGTAACCGACTAGCCATGGAGTCCGAATCAACTGAAATGACACTGACATTAATATTGTCAGTGAAAAGGAAACTTCGCGTTATGAACCATATCAGCCCAGCCATCGTGCCACCCAAGAACCAGAAGATTGTGAAGGATAGCAAGAAATGATCGAGCCGTTTTGGGTTTAGACTTGTTCAGAAACTGGTTACCCGGATTACGCGATCCTATACGTGAAATATCATTATCAAGTATAAATTCTATAGAGAGTCCCGATATACTGAAATTCCCGCTGTCTTACGGTTTTCGTTCCCAAAAATCTTTGCTTGAACTTCGCGATCTTTGGCGCACAGCCGCAATTTTGTTTGGCACTATCATCACTCTCGCTTTCCTACTCACGAGTTGCTGATTTAAATTTTAGGGATGGATTATGGTACCTTCTAGTACAACATTGTGACGTCCTCGACCGGCTGCCGGGATGTAACCTAGCCAAACCGTTAGCGCCCAGTTGCAAAAACACTCTAGTGTCGAAGCTCCAGGTCTGGTTATGCCGAATAAGAATGGTTCTATCACCGCTCTTCTATAACCGTTATAAAATGGAATCCTACTTAGCAGGGTATAAAACCCAGGCG